GTCAACCAGAGCAGAGAGCCAGGACGGGTGAGAGTATCCAACGTGACAGCCTGAAGCAGAGTGAAGGTGCAGGGCATGAAACTGAGGGGGCAAAAGTGAGGGCACTAAGCTTCAATGGCACTGATGAGAGGAGAGACAGAGAATAGCCTGAAGTTCTAAGTAGAAATATAACTTATTAAAAACAGCAAAGTCTAAAGGAAGAGGGAGCCCTAACACAGATGAGGCGCTTCGGTCTGGGTGCACTGAGCACAGGCACCAGTCCAAGCTCCCGGTGGGAGCATCCACCGGTAGAACGAACCTGCCGAAGAAAGCAAGGGACGGAATCAAGAGAAGCAGATTCAGTCGGCAGTTACTGAAAGTAATGATAACTGACACTAAGCTAGTTTGTCTCCTTCACAGGAGACTAGAAAAGATGATGTCCTGTTCCTCTAACATAGAGACAGGGGAACCAGCCAATGACAGAAGCAGAGAACAGTAAGAGCAAGTAGGCTGTGACACTCGCATCATTGAGTTGGCTAGGTCATCTCAAGTTTCAGGGGCAAGAGGGAAGTTGGCAGGAGAAGAGGTTGTTTCAAAGAGTGACAGCATCAATAGGGAGAAGACAGACTATAAAACACAGCTCTGAATCTGGTGCTTAGAAAGTCTTATTCTTAAAAATGCCTAAAAAATGACTTCTGATTACCTCCCAACTAACATCGCTCTCACATAGAGCTTCTTATATTTAAATAAGCTGCTCCAATTAGTGTACTAAGTGAAAAGTAAGCAAGTCAGAGCAAGACATATGATTTCACTTACATGTGAAATTTATGGACAAAATAAACTGAAGAACAAAATAGAAACAGAGCTATATCTATTCACTTACAAGGTTGTCTATCTTGTATTTAACTAAATTAAGCAAAATGCGAATTCTCCTTCTACGTAAAAACAAATGAAACCTTTTACTCTGACATATACATACTCCTAAAGGGAAAGGTATAAAAGGACAGAAATCGAGCTAACCCAAACATGGTTTATCTGGCGATGAAAGGAGACATTTAGAGGTCCGTGGTGGCCTGGTTGTTAGTTACTACTGGTGACTTGATTTCCTGCACTCTCTCTCCTTCATACCTGGTCTCTTGTTCTCCAGGGGCTTATGTGGCCAGAAGCTTATCTCCTGAGGCGATGCCTAGTTCTTGCCCCAGCTTTCTCTGGTTCATGCCAACCACTCTTTAGCATGGCTGAGAGGGTGTGGAGGCTGATCAACCTCTGAGCTGGAGCAATGTCTCTGCAGGATCCTGCAGGCTTGTGGCTTTCCTGGGAAGGGGGTGTAGTGTGCGGTCATTTTCCAAAAGGGACAGACGCAGAATCTAGGCCAGGGTTGCAGGCCAAAGAAGCATAGGAGGTAGACAGATGGAAAATGGATCAAGGTAGTACTACCTCTCCCTGGCAGTACCCTATTGCCAAATCACATTTCAAATTATTCCCTCCCCTCACCTGTGTCTAGGGTAGGCAAAACCCCATGAATATGATGGACCCCCCATTTTCCTACCAAAATCTTAGTCTACAAATCGTGATTGTAACACAGGTAAATGCGGCATGTTCTTCTAGTAAAGAGTCTAGTGTATTATAGATTCTCAATAGCTACTAAGGAGCAGCAACACTGCTTTCAGCAAAATATGTCCAAAGGCTTTGGCAGGTGTTTTTATATGAATATAAGTCACCGGCTATTCATAAGACTATACCTGCTGGGATAGTTTAAAAGCCAGAAATTATACTTGAGAGACATGGAATCAATTTTTAAGAATCTACCCATGTTAATACAAATTATTTATTTATACATTATTAAGGATATACCAAAACTTACCTCAATATCTCTCTCCCTCTGTCATATTCTATCTCATGTGCTTTAATATAACTAAGATAATTTTTATGCTACTGTCTCTGACATTCAGTATTATTTTATATTAATTTCAGGTGTACAGCATGATGGTTAGACAATCATAATTCACAAAGTGATCCCCCAATATTTCCAAGTACCCATCTGGTACCGTGTTTAGTTATTACAATATTAGTTTTTAATGCCAGTATTTCTTAATGTCTACTTAGAAATACACTGACAATCTCACTTTATGTTACCTTTTCAGAATACACTCTTCCACTAACTCATGCAACAATTAGTTACCTAGGCACTGTTCTTTGCTCTGGAAATAAAGCAGGGGGCCAATGAGACATGTTCCTTTCCCTCACGGAGCCAAATCCTCCCAGAGGGAAACAGCCAACCAACGCATAAATATTCAGTAGAGTGTGCTGACTGGTGATCAGCCCCACGGGAGAAATAAGAGGGGCAGACAGAGTGCCGCTGGTGGGGTGGAGGTTGCAGTTCCTACACAGTGGAGTGGGGACGGCCTTGCTGGGAAGCACACTGAGGACTGCACTGGAAGGGGCGAGGGAGAAGCATGTGAACACCCGGGAGGAGAGTGCCGCAGGCTGAGGCAGGTGCACGCCGCTGCCCCTCCAGTGCCACCCCCCCCACGTCTGCTCCTCTCTCACTGGACGCTCAGCGAGCACTGGCCTCCTTGCTGTTGCTCAGACATGTGCTCAGACATGTGCCGGGGAGAGAGAGAGGGACCCAGGGAGGCAGGGTACGAGCTCCTCTGAGAAGCCACTTCTTCCAGCTGAGAGGCAGCCATCATCGTGACTGACAGGGATGCTGGGCAGGCACTTCTCGTGAGCAGCGCCGTCTGACAGCACTTTCTGCGGGGACAGGATTGCTCTCGACCCGTGCTGGTCGGTGAGGAGCCGCTGGACACATGTGGCTATTGGGCAGGTTCACAAGAGGCTGATATGACAGGGGAACCGAAATTTTAATTGTATTTTAATTAATTTACTGAATACATTGAAAGGGTCAAATGTGGCTAGTGGCTACCATACTGGCCAGCATGAGTCTAGAATAAAGGTAGGCCTTGAGAATAAAAGAATTTATCATTAATAGACAGACACCTTATTTCTTAATAAAGACATTTAATTTGCTAAGGTTCCACTTTGTCCATTAAAAATTCTACGGTTATGGCAGTTGTGATAGCTTCACTTCTCACGAAACGTGCTAACCATTATTTACCATGTAATTCTTTGGCTACTGAGTAGAAAACTTATTGCTGTTAGGCTTTCTTACCTCAGCTTTAGTGTTTTCCTGTGAGTGATCTATTATTGCTAAAGTAATAGCTAAGAAATTTTTTAAGAATCTATTCACTTTTTTATTAGCAACAATTGATTTTTTGTTTATTTATTTTTAAATTAAATTCACTGGGGTGACACTGGTTAATAACATTATATAGGTTTCAGCTGTACAATTCTCTGGCACATCATGTGGGCCCACCACCTGAAGTCTAGTGAAAATCCATTTTTAAACTCAAGCTGCATTTCCTGCTAGCAAGCTTTTTCCTATCAGTTTGACTTTTCCTCAAGGGACACGCTTACATGCAAATGTAAAAAATATGAATGAAATATAATGAATGGGATGTGGCATAATAAGCTATACATTCATGTATTACTGGATTCTAACAAAACAGTATGAAAGACTGTGATTAGCAGAATGGCTGGAAAAGATCAGGGGTCCGGGAAGAACTGGCATTCAAACAGCTTTGTCTGCTCCAAAGCTGGAAATGGAAGATACTCATTACTTCAAGAGACACGCAAGGCCAGGCTTTAAAATCTATATTCAACTTTATAAAAATATAAAGGTTCTAAGAGAAAGGCACACACACACACACACGTAAAATAACATATATCACACTAAACACACCATTTTTAACGCTACCCAAGAAAACTTCATGGTTTAGAATTTCTATGTTTAAATCAACAGCACTAAGAGTCGATGAAAGCCAGTTACTAAAAAATTTATTGCTTGGTTAAAACTCAGTTTACAATTCAAAGGATCTTAAAAATCTCTGTGCTGTGATGACGCTTTATGGAGTTTTCAGTGGAGATGAAAACAAATAAAAAGATCTGACAAACAGAAAATGACAAAGCTATTTCCAGCATTATAAACATGGAAACTTTGTACCTTATTCCAAGAAAACTGACTTTAACTCATCTGCCTGAAAGGAGAATTATGATTCCTGAGATCCCTTTCAAAATGTAAGTGTTTGATGGCAATTTTATTTGAAAGACATTATTTTTATAATTAAAAAAAAAACTAGAATGCAAACTTCATGAATCAGGGATTTTTAATAATGTGCAGTATTTCTAGTGCCTATAATAGTGCCTGCCATATAGTAGGTACTTAATAAATATATACTAAATTAATAATTAGACCACATTTTACTAAGATAACCGAACTGTATTATAACATTAGTAACATAGAACCATTCCACTTATCAAAATTCTCATTTTACCACCTACACATACAAAGCCCTTTTTCAAGTTTATTGGTATTTCACAGAATTAGTCAAAGTCTAGAATTCTATGGTTATAGAATCCTATGATCCTTTCCAATTCAAATTTCATTTATTACAATAATGCAGTGAACTGTAAAGAAAAAATCTGAAACCTATTCAAACGGAACATTAAGGCAACATATTACTGAAATTACTACAGAAAGAACTGTGAAACAACTGATGCAGCATCCTCACATTTCACGATTTTCTTAAATCTTTCATTCCAAGAAACATTTTTCTAGTTGTCTGTGTAGTATTGTTTTATATGACCATCAAATCCTTCATTTTCACAATCAAGTACTTACACTGAAACGCCCTATAACGAACTGCACTGCACTTTTAAGTTTTATACCAAAAGGCCTAACTTACTTTAAAAACAAATCTAATATGCACTGGGAAATACCACGCTGGGATGTGTGCGGCAGTGCTGTTTACCGAGGAAGCCCCAGTGTTTTATCAACTAACACTGAAGTTTCAACAAGGGATAACGTTAGGAAATTTACCTTCATAACACCTTAACACGTCCGTCCAATACGTAAGGTGGTTTCCTCCTAAGAAACGAGGACGTGGACGTCCGCGACTCACCGTCAGGTTCCGGTCCCAGATCTGCACGCTGCCGTTCTGGCAGGCAGCGGCCACGAGGCTCCCATCTCTGCTGTAGGTGCACGTGGTGGGGATCACCTTCTTACCCTGCACCGTCCGCGGCTTAAACACACTTTTCTGCTTCTTTGGATTTTCGACTTCCCATAGCCTCACAGTCCTAAAAAGGGTAAGGAGATTTTCATGTCCCAAAAAGAAAGGAGTTTAAAATATAAAAGAGCCCGTTAAGACTGCTTCCACTTTTAAGCACAGGAATTTAATAATTATATTAAAAATAAAATGGGCCCTGTGAGTATTCTCCAATTATAAATGAGGTTACTCACTGAAGTGAAGTGCACCAGCCGAGTCGTGTTGGCAAATCAAAAAGCAAACGGCAAATTCTGCCTCAAATCTACCAGCCATCAGTCCTGACCCTCAACAGCAGGGGCCCCCAACAGCTCTGCCTCTCCACTCGGATCACTGACACTGTTGAACACACCCCCATATACACGCATCAACTTCTAAATCTCCCACCTGTGTCAATGCAGCCCCGTATCACATGCACTAGGAGCACACTGAGACACTCGGTCACCAAAAAAGGACCATGTCCTGCTCTAGGGCCCAGGCAAAGATTTCTCGCCTCTTAGGGAGAAGTGAAAACACTGCTGCCAGAGCCTGAGTTTTCACTCCATAGAAAGCAACGGCAGTTCGAGCTGGAGCGGGCACAGGATACCCTCCTGCTCTCGGTCTTCGCCAGAGGAGTCCTGTGCCCGAGGGGGGCTGGGGAAAAAATCTACATGCTGGGGTGGGGATGTAACATGCGCAAAAACAAGGATGAGTTCAGAGAAATAAGGGTGAATTTCAAAAACGTACAAATCTTTCTAAAAGACAATGGCTGTAAAGAAACCAAATAAGACCCTGTGAGGTTTACAATACACGTTGCAGTGCACTGTGTGCCAACATCAGCACGAAGGCTGGAAGGGAGGGATGGCAGTACACAGTTTCATACGGTACTTGAAATGGTGTAATTATACTTGATGAGGGACTCTGATGCATTAAAGATATATATTACAAACCCTAGAGTAATCACACTTTTGTAATGTATATATAATAATAGAGATAAAATGGAAATAAAAAATGAATCCTATAAAAACAGGAAAAAAGAAAGAACTCTAGGATAAATATAATACAAATGGCTACACAGTAGGTTTAAATTCAACCTCATTAATAATCACATTAGTTGTAAATGGCCTAAAAACTCTAATGAAAAGGCAAACTATGTCAGATTGGATTAGATAAAAGCAAATTCTGTCTTTAAAAACATACAAAAACCTTTAAATATAAAGACTTAGCTAGGCTAACAACAAAAAAAATGAAGAAAAGATACGCCTATAAACATAATCAAAGGAAAGCTAGAATGAGCATATTAATGTCAGACAAAGTGGATTTCAGAATAAAGAATAAAACTAGAGACAAAAAGGAACACTTCAGAATGATGCAGTCAACTATCAAGAAGACATAATAATCCTAAATACATATGCCCCTAATAACAGGGCCTGAAAATGTGAAAGCAAATTAATAGAAATAAAACAACAAATCCATACTGAGAGCTGTACACTTCAACAGTCCGCTCTCGGTAACTGATAGATAGAAGGAGACTGCTCTCCGCACACACACGCACATTCAGTCAGGACGTGCAGGCACTCAGAAACACTACCAAACAAGTGGAGCTAATCAACATTCATACAACGCCTTGCCCAGCAACAAATGAATGTGCGCTCCTTTCAGGTTTACACTGGTCATTCACTGAGACAGATGACAATTGGGGCCACAAAATAAATCTAAACACACTAACAAGAAATACAATCATATGTAGTATATGAACTGTCAAGAATATATAATTAAATAAGCAATTGATAACAGAAATGTTTCTGGAATGATATCTCTTCCAAAACATTAAGAAATTAAGAATACAAATGTAAACAATTCATGGGTCAGAAAAACATATCACAAGAAATAAGAAAAATACTTTGAATCTAACAAACAGAAAAATATAATACATCAAAATTCATGGTATTCAGCTAATGCAGGACACAGGGAAAAATGACAGAATTAACTGTATATATTTGAAGAAAGGAAAGCCTCAAATCAATGACCCTAAGATTCAACCTTAAGAAACTAGAAAAAGAAGAGAAAATTAAATCCAAAGAAAGCAAAAGAAAGAATATAATAAAAAAAAAATGAGAGTACAAATGAATAAAAAACAGAAAAACAGTAGAGAAACGAAAAGCTGGTTCTTTGAGAAGTGCAATAAAATTAATAAACCATTAGCTGGACTGACAGGAAAAAAAGCCCCACCAGAAATGGAAGACAGTATCAAACACCAATAACTTGAATGAAAGAAAGGATATCACTACAGAGCTTACCAACATTAAAAGGATAATAAAGAAATTTTATGTACAAGTGTATATACATACATTTGATAATTTAGATGAAACAGACAAATTTCCTTGAAAGATACAAACCACCAAAGCTCACTCAATAAGATATAAATAACTGGAATATTCCTGTATGATTAAAAAAGCTAAATACATAGTTTAAAATCCTCCTACAAAGAAAACCCTAGAGGGCTTCACTGTTGAATTCCACCGAACACGTGAGAGGGAAAGAACACCAGCTCTGTACAAGCGTCTCCTGGAAACAGAAGAGGAAACACTTCACAACTCGTGCTGTAAGGCCAGCATTACCCAGATGCCAGCCCCAATTTCGCTACATTGGATACACGGCCCCACACACCCAGTGAACACAGACCAAAATTCTTAGCCATCAGAAGCTGAAGCTAGCAGTGCATAGAATGCTAGTACTTCACGAGTAAGTGGACAATGGACAGGACTGGAAATTAAACAATATAATGCACCTTATCAACAGAGTGTAAAAGAAAAAAGATATATCATCATCTCAATTTATGCCAAAAAAGAATTAGGAAAAAAAAAACAACATCCACTAATGATTTAAAAAAAAACTCTCAGCAAACTAGGAATAAGATGGAACTTCTTCAACCTGACAGAGCACATATATAAAAACTTACAGGTAAAATACTAAATGGAGAAAGGCTGGATGCTTTCCTTTTATGCTTGAGAACAAAGCAATGACATCAACTCTCACCATTTCTTTATATGGGAGTTGCTAGCCAGTGCAGTAGAGTGAACGAAAGAAATTAAAGGCTGGAAAGAAGAAATAAACTGTCTTTATTCAGAGAACACATGATCATTTACATAGAAACTCCCAAGAATCTACTACATAGAAAATCCCAAGAATCTACAAAAATTTTATTAGAACTAATAAGTGAATTTAGCAAGGTCACAGAATACAAAGTCACCAATCATAAATCAATTTTATTTCTATTAACAAGCAACGAACAATTTGATAATGAAATTATAAAAATCAGGGAGGGGATAATGGGGGGAAATGGGGGTAGGGTTTTCGGGAACAACTATAAAGGACACATGGACAAAACCAAAGGGGGGCGGAGTCAAGGGGAGGGAGGTGGGGATGACTGGGGTGGTGGGGGAATGCAGATAACTGTACTTGAACAACAATAAAATAAAAAATTATCAAAATCATACCATTGATAACAGCATGAATAAACATGGCATCTGACGAGATAACGTGCACCAGCTGTACAGTGAACACTATAAAACACTTCTGAGAGAACTGAGAGATAGACATGAATAAGAAGACATGCTGTATTTACGGATCAGAAGAATCAATGTTGTTAGGATTTCAATTCTCCCCTAACAAATATTTAGATTAATACTATCTGTACCAAAATTATACCAGAGTTTCTCTGGCATAAAAATTGAGTAAACTGATTTTAAAACTTATGTGGAAATGCAAACAACCTGGAATAGCCTAAACAGTTTTGAAAAAAAATCAAAACTACGGTGCTCTACCAGGTTTCCATACTCTAACTCCCATATTGTAACACCCATTATGTAAGTTTAATCACACATACTAACATCTCTTCCTTCTACAAAATGAGCCCCTCAAATCCAAGGGCTCTTTTTCTTTTTTTAATCTTTGTATGCCCAGGGCCTGCATCATCTCCTTAACACAACATACTGGGTCCTCAATAAATCTTTGTTAAATCAATGAAACTTGCTGCCTATCAAAGCATTTTATGAATCAACTTTGAGATATAACAATGAAATACTTCAAATAGCCAGCATTTTCTGTCAAATATTTGTGATTTGTTCCAAATGAAGGATCGTTTTATTAATAAGTTTTGCATGTTTCCCCCTACACTTTGCTTGGGAATACAACCCACTGTGCGACATTACTGACCTCAAGCCCTCAGAGCTGCCAAAACCAGCACCCGACGTAAGATTGCACAGAGCGAATTTTATGTGACAACAATTAAGGCTTTGGAAATAGTACAGAAGTAACGAAAGGCACCTTGGAACTCAAGGATTTAAAGCAATCCAGTTGGGAGCCCGAAGACACTATGACAGTTGAAAGCCACAAGCCATGTGACAGACACTGCTAGCAGCGTACTCCAACATCCACTCTCCTTTCTTCTCGGATCAAGCATGTATTCCCCAGCCTCTGTTACGGCTACATGTGACGAAATGTGGCAACTATGCTTTGACCAGTGCGGTCAAATGGAAGGTCGGCGTGAGCTTCGGAAAAGTCTCTAAAGGAAAGTTCAGACCCTTTTCCATCCCTTTGTGTTCACTCCTGCCTCTGTGGCATCTGGATATGATGCTGGTCTCGGCAGCATCTTATCAGAGCAACAGACTGAAGGCGCCCTGGTCCTTGGCAACACTGGAGCCACCCACTCCAGTCTGGAGTGCCCATGTCTACTATGTCTAGAGGACATAGATGAAAAAAATTTCCCTTGTCTTGCTTCCTTGTAGAAAACCACTCCCCTCTTCCCCAGCTTTAACCATTGGCAACTATTGACCTGTTTTGTATCTGTTTTTCCGATATTATAAAATGAAAATCACACTGTGTGAAGCCTTTTGAGTCTGGCTTCTTGAACTGAGCATAATGTATTTGAGTTCTTCTGATACGTATTAGTAGTCCATTCCTTTCTGTGGATGAATAATGGTCCCTTATATGGATGTACCACATTGTTTTTCTCCATTCACCAAATGAAGAATATTGGTTGTTTCCAGTTTG